AACAGGGTCGCCAACGGCCGAAAATGCTTGCGGTGGGCCCGAATTCGCCGGTCCAAAAAACCAAATGTTGAGCAAACAACAGTTATTGGCAAATAATGCTTTCTGTTGGTGCAGGAGAGAGTTCCAGGGACGGTGTCAGGCTCACGTTCTGAGTGTGCGGGGTATTGAGGGAACCCAGCTGGTGGCGTGTGGACCGAAGCAGAGACCGAGGCGCTGTATGCGAGGTCTCGTAGCGAGTTTGGGACCATTGCAGAACGGAAGGTGACGCCTGCGGCCAACAATCCACGGAAGCAAACGGCTTGCGAGTTCGCAAAGTTTCTGGGGAAGAACCGTTTTGGGGTCACAGCGGAAACAGCCACCGCGGCGATCGTAGGGGCATTTATAGTGGGGAACTGGCTTCCCCGCACAGCTGAAACTGCCGGACTGTCTTGCCTGCAACTGGGCAGACTGTGGCGTCTGCATCTGCAGCAAAGGGCGTCGTGAAAGATTCATCTAAGACGTACAACATGCTTGGTTTCGCCGGGCACGAAAACCCGGCTAAAGCTAAGCCAGTGAAATCCTTTCGGGATGGCTACGAACGGTACCTGCACGACAAGGGGGTGAAAGTGCAGAGGGCAAAAGTATCCACCGAGAGCAAGCTCGACGCCCTTCTGGGCTTTTTAGCTGAGCGGGTGCGGGGAGAGACAGACGCGTTGGAACTTTGCACGTTGCTAATGGACCAGGCAGCGGTTCTATACCTGTGGGAATCATTGGCTCGCGGCAAAGAGTGCGTCTCTTTGAGCGCCAATCAGATCGAGGGTGGCGAATCCCCAGCCGCGTTTCCCGGCTGGAGCAAGACGGTTAGACAAGAGCCCAGCGCTCGTATCCCGTTGGCCCAGGCAGGCTCGTCTCAGCGCCTCACCTTGTTGAGGTGACGTCTCAGCTCGTAAAGGCCCTGGAGATCCTTGGTGAGCACACCGAAGACGGGTACCTGTTTTGCGCCCACAACCGGCAACGTACAGGATTCTCCTCGGGGCCAATCTCGAGCGCATCCCTGCGGAAACGAATTCAACGGCGCCTGCAACAAGCCGGGATGTTTGAAGGAGAAACGTTGCATTGATTTAGAAGATCCGCAGTACAGCATGCTGCGATAAATTTGAAATAGAACGTAAAACAGTTGATGGAACTCGGGCGTTGAAAAAGTTACTCTGCGTTCAAAGTTTATGTAGAAAAAGTTTGGCAGAGACGCTGATAACAATGATGGTCAAATTGACTGAGTCTAGTTTCTTGTCTATCTACTTGCGTGCTGATAGTATGCTATGCCTCCCAACGAATGATGTATGCTCTAAGCTTATACACCGCTAGGTTCACGGTTCCGTTTGGAATCCTGAAGCTGGGGTTGCAAGTGCGCTCGCCGCGCGGTAGCTCCAGCGGCCCCCTCATGTTAGTCTGCCTGCCGAATTTTTGGAGCGCCAACCACCAGTTGGTCGCCGGTGCTTCAGGAACGATTAGCACACAATCCGTTTGGAAAAGCCGGATCGCTTGGACGACTTGGCTGAGCAGGCAAACCGGCGGGAAGATCCAGGCGACTTCCCCCGGGGCTAGTAGAAGGCTCCAGTCGACGCGCATGGCGTCCGCTGCAAGGGCCTCGGGCGTCGAATGCAAGCTCAGGAATCTCTCCGCCACGTGCCACGTGTCCGACCCAAACAAGTCGACGGCGGGCTCCACCCCGAAGCCATCCAGGACTGCGCGCACCGCCTCCTGCGCCAGCCCCGAGTCCGAGCTGTCTTGGAATTTGCTGAGGTCGTCTTCTTCTTGCATTTCTTCTCGTGGCTTCCACTGTGCTACCATGTCGAAGTCCGCCTCGATGCACAACTCGAACAGCAGAAGCAGCGCTACGTTAACATCCAGCGCGCGGCTGTTCATTGCGTTCACTGCCCGTACCGCGGCCTGGTTATCCCCTCTGAGGAGCACCGCCGCTCCTTTGAGCGCGCCGCCTGCTCGCTCTCGCGCCTCTTTCAGCACTGGGAAGAATGCCACCATCTCGCGCGCCATGCTGGACATGCTCATCTCCGTTTCCGAGAGATTCCCGATCACCGTCAGCTTCTCTTCCCCCGGAATCTGAATCTTTCCCCCGAATCCCGTATCTGATGCGTCCGAGCCGGCTACGACTGCCACCTGACGTGGGAACCAGCGCCTCCCGTTCCACTCGTCGAGGCGCTACAAGAAGAGCCTTGCCGTTTCCTTCGCCGCCTCCAGCGTCTCAAAGACGTCATCCCACGTCAGCTTCCCCCAAATGGCTGCAAAAAGTGGACTGCTGTACAGAGCCGCCGGGAGGACTGCCGGGCCCACTGAGATTGTTTTGCCGGCCACCTTAGCCAGCTCCCGGAGTGTAACTACCCCGCTCTCCGCAAGCGCTCTGAGCGCCCCTTTCAGCTTCTCCATCTTTGTGGCTGACACGACGAACCGTCGGTTCACCGTGTCGATGAGGAAACCTAGCGACGGGCCTTCTTGCTGGGGCCAGAAAGCTGCACTTTGGCAGGCTAAAAAAGGCGCCGAGCAGGGTTAGCGGCTTGACCACGATCACCGTGGCCCACACGCACCTCCAGAAATCCTCGCATCCCGTCAGTCCGTCGTCGAGAGAGCTCGAGACAGGAACGGATCGAAGCCGCAGCTCCTTGGCTGCCTCCTGCGTGAGCAGCGTGTATAGAAAGCACGCTTCCGACCAGCCGAGATACATGCCGTTGTAGTGCATGTACACTTGGCCCACTTTGATGCCGAAGTACTTCCGGTAGGCGGGGTGAATGAGGAGGTGGTAATACCCCGCCTTGAAGTCCCAAGTGGTGAAGAACCCCCGCTCAGTCAAGAAGGTGAGGACCTCCCTGAGCGTCTTGTATTTGAACGCCTGCCGCTTGGAGAAGAGGTTAACATACCGGGCGTTGACGACAAGCCGACCTTTTGGGAGGTTAACGACTCCCAAGGGGTAAACCACCTTTGGCTTGCCGTCCTTTGGGGCGTAAACCTCGAGCGTGCCGTTCACCACCATCTTGACCACCTCGCCAATCGCAAATTCGCTGTTGTCGTAGAATTATCGGTGGTTTTCAAATGCCACCGGATGAGGGACTTGACCCGTCAGCATGGCCTCCGCCTCTTTCGGGCCCATTGTCCGGATGAGCATCGCTTGAACTTGCTCTCGTTTCTTCGGATCCGCCTCTGCTGTTCCAACAAACCGTGGTTTCGCCCCAGAGGCTCATCATTTTTAACACGCGCTTGGAAGATGCGCGGTTCGAGTTCTGCAGCATTTCTTCCCAAGTGGGTAGATGCCGCTCGAAGCTGCCCGCGACGAAATCTTCCGGGTCGAATGTGTGGGATCCCACGTTTTTCACCCAGTCTGTCAGTTCCGCTTTCTGCGTTTGGGACACCTCCGTTTCGCTTCTGGGGCCCGACATCGAGTCAAGGGTTTCTCGCACCGCTTTGCGAAGTTGTTCTCCGTTTGGGGTTACGCCTTGCCTCACTTTGAGTCCCGCAAAGACTCGTAGGTGCAGGATTGTAGAAGCGGCGCGCTCGCTTCCATGAGGGGATCTTCGTTCAGTTCGAGCTCGTTGTCTTCCAATTCGTTTTCCGGGGAGAGCGGCTCTGGCTCTGGGTCGCAGCCCAGGGGATCTGACGGCCTGGCGCACTTTTCTGTTTCTTGATCTCCTCCGCCCGGGGATTCCGGAACCGATTTTTTCCGTTCACCCATCAGGTCACTCGCCTCCTTCAGGGAACCGGTCGGTTTGTCTGCTGATTCCGTGCTTCGGAGATCAGGAACCTTTTCGCCCTTTTTGAGATCGCTCTGTTTCGAGCGGGCGGGCTGCCGATCTCGGGCGCGGCCGCCTCGCTTGGTTTCACCAGGCGGTCCGCATGTGGCCTGGTCGGGAATTCGGTCGACGGGAATTCGGTCGAGACTTCCTGCGCCGTGTCCCTGGCAATATGAAGAGTGAAATCAGCCTATGATGAGCCGCAGCGGCGGTCTCCAAAACGGAAGAAAAGCCTAGGCGTCTTCAGTGTAAATTTCGCCCGTGCACAGGAATGATCTCAGTCTCGTTAACCCAATTTTGGTTAATCTGACCCTGAAACAGCGGGATCCGCGGGGTCGTTTCGCAACTGCCATGGGACGGGGCATCTTTTATAGGTGTAAAATGCTTTTGGTCGTCCCGGGTTAGCATTCTGCGTCACCTAACGAGAATTTGACCAACGGGTTAATCGGGTTAGGTAAGCGTATTTTCACCGAGTTCCGCGGTTTCTTTTTACGTCGCCGAATAGATACGCCGATGGCAATTCGTTAGCTCCGCGCTCGTGTCGATCAAAATGAGATTCCGCAGTTTCCCGAAGTTCAGATCATTGAGCGCATCATGCTGACCAGCACTCATGTTCCTGTAACACAAAATCCATCTGAATGTAACCGCATGTTGTGCCACGGTTCACGTTGTGAATGGCCTTGTCGGCTCGCCGAACACTCGTCTCCGCTTGGGTGTGCTAAGGGTTATCCAAGAGAAACGATTACAGCAAGTTCGTACAGCCGTTTATCTAGGTTCGATCGTGCCTCACTTTTCTAACCTCCTTTTTTCTATCTGTACCCGGGGCTTCTAATATTTTTGACTCGCTACCCCCTCTTCTCTAACTTTCTCACCTACGACCCGACCTATGCGCCGGGGCGTGATTGTCTCGATCGTCTCTGTCGTCTCTCTCACGTTCTTCGAACCGTCTCTTGCCGCCCCAGCCGAGCCCCTTGCCGGAGCCGCCGGGTCCACTCCTAAAACGGAAGAAGTTTTCCGTTAGTCGCGCCTCTTGTGGGCTGAACTTCTGCCGGGCAACCTTGCCTACCTGATTGGCCGTCTTTCCGGCATTCTTGGCTTCCTTGTGAAGCATTCTAGATGAGAATTCTTCTCATGCTGGCCCCGCGTTGCTTAAAAACCTCACTTCAGGAGGGAATTCTAGTTTTGCTTATACCTCTCGTTTTTGCAGCGGCCTCACTTAGGGAGGATTCCTCATTCCTTGATGTTTTATACTTATGCATCTTTTGCGCGTCAATACTACCCTCTTAGTTCCGCAGGCCTGACCGAAATGAGCACGTGTTTGTGCCAATATCAAACTCAATATCAGGCCATTGCACGTCACTGAACGGTTCCTCTTTTTACAGATGTGGTTCTGTACCTTATGTAACGACTTGCGTCAGCAACTTCATCCTGACCTGCCTCCCCCTTGGAACCTTGTTTAAATGCTTCTCACGGGCCACCACGAACTCACCTCGTGTAGCTGCCGCTTCCGCCTCCAGAGCCCCGTAATTGCAAGGGGCGTGCATTACCTTCTCCCACCTGGGTCTGGGCCTCCTTCCGGTACTCCTCGAACATCTTCTTGCGGATTTTCTTCTCAAGCTCCCGCACTGTTTTTGCAGTCCACCCGCTGCTGTCTCCGGCTTCCTCTATCACCATTAACATGTCCGAGATGAACCCGTCCGCCAGATATTCGAGGTCGAGGAAGACCACGTTAAGCTGGTTGGCATAGAAGTAGACGGCAGCGATGAGGTGAGCAGCTTTCGAGTCGGGCTCTTTGTACAACTCAAAGAGCTGCTCGAATTTAGTGTACCATGCCCGTGACTCCCTCGGAATCTTTCTCAAGCCAGCCTCCATGTGTGAAATCAGAGACCCCTTTTGCACGAATTTCTTGAAGGCTCTTTCCAGGCGGGCTGCCGACCCCGCCATGTCGGGCCCTTGCATAAAGCCTGGGGTGAATGCATTGAGGACAGCCGCGCTTGGTGTGACCGTTGGCGGCTCTGGAATCGTGACTCTTCTAGCGGGCTGTTGTCGGGGACCTGCTCTTGCTGCTGTGGCTGTGCACCTCCTGCCGGACCCACTGGGGCCACAGGTACCGTTGATGGAGCACCAGGGATGGCCACCTCGAACACCTCATGCTGCAGGCCTATCTCTCTAAGCCTCCTAAGCAGCGTATCATTGGGATGCCTGGTGCCAATACCAATCCTCAGCTCGGTTTTATTCACCGGTCTTCGGAAAAGCTCGCCTCCGCTATTCTTCAGCCGGAACTTGCCTGATGCGAGATCTACGTCAACAACTATAGCCCAGAGCCTCCTTCCTGAGCCGGGTAACTCATGCAGCAGGTATTCCCCAATCAGACCTTGCGGTCCAATCAAGTCGATAAGGGTTGCGAGCTGAGGCTCCATGATTCCCCTCTCGACCTGTACAAGCAAAAGACGACTCAATGCTCAGTGCCAACTCACACCAGCCAGGGGGAGGGTCTTCTTTGCAGTGTTAACACCCCCCAAGAAAACAAACGTCTCTTGATGGCGCCCTGTCAGGCGCCTTCTCTTTCTGAAACGT